CTTTCATTCCTTTAGAGACAGCATGAAAAGTCAGCTGAGTACAAAACATAGAGAGGAAAACAAGAAGAAAAGGGACAAGAAGAGAGGGACACAACCTAGAGCAGATCATGGATGTCTATTCTATTAACATTTCTACATCTGGAGAATGGGGCTGTTTTATGTTCCTGTCTTTGCTTAAGGCCCCAAATTCCTTAAATCCGCCCCTGCTCACACAGAAAAGTAAATCATCTGGTTTTCCTTAGAAACTTTTTTTCCGATCTGATGGAATTTTCTCCGCAGTGACCTCAGATGACATGTTCTGTGAATTCAAACCTTAGAAATCGAGATATTTGAGTAGAGAGGTTTTCCTTAGTTTCTCCTCTGAGGGGAAATTCTGGAAAAGTTTAAAAAGAAGGAAAAATGAGGAATTCTTAAATCCGAACCGATTCTGTTCAGATTGGATTTGCTCAGAGGGTTGGAGGCGCGGTGAGCTCTGCAGCGCTAAGAGGTGGGATGGATTTTTATCTTCACGGAGCTCTCCAAACAGATCAACTGATCCTCACTTTCAGAGCTCGGCGAGGATTCAGCTGTCCGTCTCCATGGAAACACAGATCCGGATCCTGGTTTGGGTCCCGTTAACAGGAGGAAGATTCAGAAGCATCGTTTCTCTCCTTTGACCCGGATAGAAACTCCTCCTCCTCACCAGGCGCCAGGTGGTCATCGAACCCCCCCCCCTCCGATGGAATGGGCCGCCTTTGGAGAGCCGTTCAGGGGCCCCCAGCTGCTTGGCTCTAATGCTCCTCCGAGGGGCCGGGATTAAAGCGACGGGAGAGAGAAGAAACGTGGAATGGAGTGAAGAGAAACTTTAGCTTCTGGAGTTTGGTGATCTAGAAGAAAGTTTCAGCCGCTCTGATGAGCAGAGAACCTTCTGGATGTGGCTCTTCACCCAGGGTGGCACGGAATGGGGCGTAGTGCTCATTGTTATCGCTACGTCCAGGCGATGTGTGTGGCGCCCCCTAGTGTTTAGCTCCATTAAAGCAGTTTAAGAAAACAAGGCTAACCCAAACACAGAGATTGGTCGAACCTAAACTAGATTATTAAAACCAAATCTGAGATTCACAGAAACTTTGTTTTATTTTTGAAAGCACAAAAAATTTAAATTACATAAATAGATCAAATAATAAAAAAAAAATGTTCAAAAGTTTGTTCAGGTGATCCAGGCTGTGGGGGACATAGGGGGGACTTTGCCCAGGGCAGCGTTAACGCAGGAACCGGTCCTGAGGTTTGGGAAGGCTGCTGGTTTGTTCCAGTTTTACATCAGAGGTTCTAATGAGGTTCTAATGAGGTTCTGACTCAGTAACTAACTCTACAGTCTGGACTCTTTGTTCTAGCAGAGGTGTGGTCTCAACTTTGGGGTTCTGGGCCCCTGACATTCGGAGGTTCTGGGCCCCTAATTTTCAGAGGTTCTGGGCCCCTGACGTTTGGAGGTGCTGGGCCCCTAATTTTGAGAGATTTTGGGCCCCTAATTTTCAGAGGTTCTGGGCCCCTGATGTTCGGAGGTTCTGGGCCCCTAATTTTGAGAGGTTCTGGGCCCCTAATTTTGAGAGATTCTGGGCCCCT